TACTATGCCTTCATGCCAGCCACAAGGCATGAAAAATGGGGTGATAATTACCAGACTGCAAAATTGTAGTTTCATATTATTATATCACTATATAAATTAGGTACCCACATGAAAACACTAAAATTTCAGTATACCATGATAAAAACATGATTCAAACAGTTTTATTGTCAAAATCTTTATGTTATTATTAAGGGGAAAGATCAAAATATTTTTTGTATATTTAATTAGATTCTTTACTCCTTTTTAGAACTGCCCTGTCGGCTGGGGCTGTAGAATACGCTGAACTTCTGCAGAGAGGTAAGATCCCACTCAATGGGGCGTCCTGGGTATGACAATAAACTACGTCCAGCAGCAAAGCCTCTGATCAGGTTTTGAGGAGTGTGGAACCACCTCTTAATTGCTGGTGTTCCCAGACCTGGGGTGGTAGCACCTGTTAGGGTCCCAGCTATGGGCAAATAGTTAACCCTGAAGCTGGTGTCAAAACACTATGAAAGTGTAAAAATAGGCTTTAATACCACAAATACTTTGAAAAAAATAATTATCAGCAATAAATTTTTGAAGAAAAAAAAAAAATATTACCAACAATATGATTTTGAAAAAAAAAAAAAAAAAAAAAAATATTACCAGCAATACAGTTTAGAAGGAAAAATATTACCAGAAATAGATTTTTGACAAAACAAAATATTACCAGCAATAAAAATTTTGTCGGCATTAAATAACCCATTGAGGTGTTGATATGCCGTAAACCAAATCCTTTTTAGAACATTTGATATTTTGATTAAAAAAAAAACTTGTTTTTCTTGCATCAGTGGTTGTAGTAATTTTTAGCATAGCAAATTTTAGCCATTTTTTTTTTTTTTTTTGCGATGACACAGATTAATTTGGAAATTCTTGCAAAAATCAAATAATTGTCAGATTTTAATAAAATTTTGGGACTTATTCACAAATAAATGAAATTATTTTTGAAATTTTTTTTATCAAAAAGTTTTGGTGAAAATAATTTTTTTACATGTGTTTCAGCTCCTTAATTTTACGTAATTCAAAGGGATAATTTTTAGTGACTATATTAGTTAAAATCAGAATTCTTTGAAGAATTTAAATCACTGAATTATTTTTGTAAAATCAGACCTAGCGTTACTGAAAATTTGTTCTGAATCGAAAAAATAAAAACCCAATAAAATTAAGACATTACTTAATTAGAAAGGCTTTTAATTGCTTTTATGAATAATATATATTAAATACAATAGCGTCTGAAGAAAAAACATTTTTACAATGAAAAACGAATTTTTTTACAAGATTTTGTTTTCATTTTTTTTACAATTTTAAACTGAATCATACTTATAAAACCCAGGTTGTGTGTGTGTGTCTGTTCTTTTATATATTAGATCGGATTTCCTTCATTTTTCAACCGATTTCAACAAAACTTCACAGGACTATGTAAAATTAGCTTGCGGTGGTTCTGACAGCACCAAAAATTGGAAAAACAATTGTTTTTGCTTGAAATCAATTTGAAAACACGATTAAGAGGCATCACTGTCGCCAGAATGAAAGGGGGACAACTCATATCGAGTTATACTTATTATAAAACCCAGGTTGTGTGTGTGTGTGTGTGTGTGTGTGTTCATTTATATATGGGATCGGATTTCCTACATTTTTCAACCGATTTCAACAAAACTTCACTTTTTTTTTGGCAGGTAGTGTTTCTTATTGTCTTGCACACTTTTTTCTTTATTTTTACATTCAGAATGCTTTAAAAATTCCATTTACAAGACAATTGTTTATAATAAAATTCTATTCAATTGGTAGACTCATAATGATTGAAAACAATTTTTTTGTTTGAGTTTGACCAATTAAAAAAAAAAAAAAAAAAAAAAAAACTAATTAAGACATGCGTGTCCGTCAACCTTAAACAATAATCTTTGTTAATTTTATTTTTCAGTCTTTATGATGGTCGATACTTGATCTATCTCTTACTGTTACATCCCCGGGCAACGCCGGGTTCTACTGCTAGTAATTTAGAAAATTTATAAACGTTTTAAAATTCATGTGATAATTCTTAGGAAATATTGTTATTAAGTAAAACTATATTTACTAATCTTATATTGTAAGGCTTATCACAATCTGATGACACCAAAATTTTAAAATGAATTTCAATTTGTTTTTTTAATTAAATGCAGAATTTCTGAGGTATGGATGCACAAATCAACAAATCTAGCAATTAAAAATGAAAAATAACAAAAAACAAATTACAAATAAAAATAACAAAAAAAAACAAAAAAAACTTCAAACTTTATTGTCTGTTCCACCATACTTAACTATGAATACGTTCGGCTGTCAATCAAATGTAAATAATTTGATTAACATATCAAAAAAATAAAACCCCCGTAGTGAAGAAATGTTTGTATACAGCATTTTATGCTGTAAGTCATATTTGTTTCAAATCAAACTAATTTAACTTTAAATTTGCTAATTTTCCTCAAATAACATTTCAGAAATATATATTTATTTTTACAAGATTTTTAAAACTAAGAATTTACTTTTGTTTACAAAGGTGGCAAAAATGATCGTTTTGATAGATTTTAATGGAAAAAAAAAATTGTTTCTGATCAATATAATTTCTGTTTGAAATACACCAGAGTATTTTGCTTACTGGAAAATTTAAATCCTTTATGCCTTCAATTAAAGCTAAAATAAAAGCTTCAAGAACCTTTTAAACCTTACATATACCAAATTATTGGATGTACCTAATATAAATAGTGTCCATTGGTAGTTGTAATTATAATATACAAAATATTTATTTTTTTTTTTTATAAAGCATTTCACCCCAAGCAAGGTGGGAAGCCACTAGGACGCAAGGGGCTACAGAAAATTTAGAGCAAGATCAGATAGGAGTGATAGAAGAAAGGATGAGGGTAGTGGATAGATCAAGGCAACTAGAGATGTCGATTGACATTACACTTAAATAGCTGGAGATTATAGCTCACAGGGAAACAGGAATAGGGAAGGGACTTCCACAGGCGAGAGGTGCAAGACATGAACCTATTAGAGTAGAAGAGATGGCTACATTTAGGAGTTTCGACAGTGAATGAAGGGGTGAGAGCGGGATGCCAACCTCGTAAGGCGCTGGAACTCATGACGTCTGGGAACCAGCGAATGCAGCTCCTCGGAGCAATTTCCATGAAAGTATTTGTAGAAAAGACAGAGGGAGGCGACGGTGCGTCTGTGAGAAAGTGACTGTAGACGAGATGCCAGAACAGGGCTAATTATATTGCATATCCGCCTCTGGAGCCTATCAAGAACCCCGAGGCAAACAGAAGGGGCAGCAGACCATATATGGCAGCAATACTACTACTTTTTATAGACTTTTATGGATAATATGGTACGACTTTCAAAAAAAAAAAAAAAAAAAAATATATATATATATATATATATATATATTATATATTTAAGTAGGGATGGCTGTATTATGGGATTGTATTATACTCAAGGATATAACTGATTCCCTGTCTTTTAGGGTTCAGAAACACGGGGTTCTTAGTTGTTTGGTTAATTTTGTTTAGCAGCATATCAACCTCTATGGGTTATTTAATGCCAAAATCCAAATATTTCATATATATATATATATATATATATATATATATATATATAAAAAACTAAACACTAATATTCCGTGGTCATAATTTATTCCATTGGAATCGTAAATATCCATCAGACCTAAAATTCAAAAAGAAAACAGAAAAAACCCCACTTAAGTACTTACACTCTCTCTAAACTCTGTTTTTATTTCCGGAGTTGGTTTTTTTCTGTTTTTTGAATTTGAACTCGATGAATTGATGTATTTACGATTCCAATGGAATAAATTATGACCATGGAATATTAGTGTTTAAAACTTTTTATTATATCCTTACTCTGTCCTAGACATTGAGTTCTACCTGGATTCTTCCTCTTGGAATTTTTTTTTAAAAAATACATGTATGGGTATTTATATATTTTGCATGTGTATGTATATTTTCCACTAATATTATATATATATATATATATATATATATATATATATATATATATATATATATATTGTAGATCATAAAATTTGTTGCTGGTAATTTTACTATAAAAATGTATTGTTGATTTTTTTTTTGTTGGTGGGGGGGGGGATCATTATTTGCCCATAGCTGGAACCCTAGCAGGTGCTACCACCCAAGGTATAGATGTACATGGGAACAACAACATTTAAGAAGTGGTTCCATTCTTTTCAAAACCTCCGATCTCCCATATTTTATCAGCATACCCAGGATGATATCATTTTACTAAAAAAATGTATTGCTGGTCATTTTGGTATAAAAATGCATTGTTGGTAATAAATTTCACTACTAAAATATATTGGTAATTTCTTTTATAGAAATGTATTGCTGGTATTTTTACTACAAAAAAAACACATTTAGATTTTTGTTTTGGAGGTTCACTATTTACCCATAGCTGGGACCCTAACAGGTGCTACCACCTCAAGTCTGGGTAGACCTGGGAATGACAGCAGTTAAGAAGTGGTTCAATTCTCTTCAAAGCCTCCAATCTCCCGCTCAGTGGCCTTGCTGCCAGACATAGTTTATCTTCATGCCTAAAACTAAAAGGGTTTTTATTATACATAAGAAAATAGGGTACTTATATTTACTACCTAAGCAATCCAAGATGATTATCTATACAAAATATTGGCACATGATTGAAGGATTATTTCTTTGTAATATTATTAAAAGTAAAACTATCCAAAGAAAGCTAGAATTAAACTAAATAAATAAAATGTTATGTATTAGAAGCCAGATCTCACCTACTTACTAAAAAGACATTCCATTACATTGTTAATGCTAACTATATTTATTTTATTGGTGTTCAGTAATACTTTCTGTTACTATAAACAATGGAATATCTCATTATCACAAATAGGGAAGATAAATATATATGACCAATACATATAGAAAAACCAAAAATTGATAAAACAAGTTTACTTACCCTTGGGCATCTAATTCCATAATATGAGAGACTTTATTCCAACCAAAACCAACAAAACGTTGATCATATGGTGACACCTTGGAGCTGACCACAACATATGGCTCAAAATCTGGTTCCCATTGTATCTAAACAGAAAGGCTTTGTATGCAATGTTTTCATATTTACATTTTAAAAGTCAAATATTTGTTGTTACGAAATCATGCACAAACCTCAGTACACCTCTCCCACCAAATCACTGCAGTCCCAAAGATTCAATGGAAGACCTATCAAATGTATGATCTGTCACATTTTTAACTTGAATACAATTTCTTCAGTCAGAATAAACTATGTTCATCACAGAAAACTATCTTTTAGTTACCATAGAACTTATATCAATGTTATTAATTATATTCTTAACTATTATAAATCGGCTATTAATATATAAGATTCTTTTTGGATAATCCAACAACTGGTTTGCTGAAGGTTTATAATTTTAAGAATTGGTTTGCACAAACCAGTAGGATGCCACCCACCGCTTATATCTGATTGACCAATTCTTACATGTTTCATATAGACACCACCTGTTTCTTTTGCACTGGAGGAATCGGTTTATGGTGAAATTCATTTGTCTATCATTTGAGTGCTTTCAGATTTTCACACAATTTGGGACATGTGAATAGTCCAAACTCACATCACTTGTTTTTTTTTTTTTTTTTTTAAAAAAAAGAAAAAAAAAAAAGAAAGAAGTCATATATATATATATATATGCTTGCTCATGCATTTACCTATATTTATCCATTTGTTTATATATATATAAATAAACAAACACCCTATAATATAAGAAAAACGTTAAATAACAAATCTATATAATATATTAAAAAAAAAAAATATACATAATACTCTATGTTGATTCCACCACTTGGAGTCATGCTCTCTCTCTCTCTCTATATATATATATATATATATATATATATATATATATATAAGGCATGGTGGAGTAATGGATAGCAGCTAGGATTGAGGAATTGGAGAGTAGAGTTTGAATTCCATTTGAATCCATTACATTCATTTATCTGCTAATACTCTTGGGAAAGGTATGAATCCTCTTCTCCGCCAGCTGTGGTTAAATAGCAGAACAGACCGGGTTCTATAGCCTTGGATAGCAACTGGTTTACTGCAGAAAAAAATAAAATCTGCCTCATCAGTCATGTATTTTTCGATACATGATCGCCCAAGCGTGTATCACACATGGCACATAACTTTATATATATATATATATATATGTATATATATATATATATATATACACGGTAATATTAGTCATTTCCTTACAAGGAAATAAATATTTGGCATTCATTGACAGAGCATCCAATACTGCTTTTGGTTGAAATATATAAAATCTTTCTCTTAAAAAAACTTTAGAAAAACAGGTTTCTCAAGTCCAGTAGCTTTTATCACTCTTTCCAGTACTGATGGGAGTTTCCTTCCTAACCTTTTATTTGAAGTAGTGTGGAATGTCAACATCTTGACAGAAGATTGACATTACATTTAAATTTTTAAAGATTGTAGTTGAGACAAACACAAGAAGCTGGAAAAGAGTTCCACAAGTAAAAATTGTGATAGAAGAAATTAAATTTACAGTTACATCTTGCTATTTCAACTGTAAAATGACAAGATCTTACCACCAATCAAGTACTGCATTAGTATTTGTAAAGTCTTGATACCATAGAGGAGAGCTCATCAGAACAATTACAATGAAAATATTTATAGAAAAGCACAAAGAAGGTACGTTATGGTGGTGAGAAAATGGCTGAAGCTGAGATGCCAGGTCAGGACAGCATTGCAGATTCTGCAAGAATTTATAGATATATAGCAGAAGCAGCAGACCATATTTGGTAACAATATAATTTATAGATATATAGGAGAAGCAACAGACCATATTTGGTAACAATATTCAATGCATGGGCAAATGGTAGACTTTAAATTTGTAAGATAGATTAGGAATAGATTCAATAAAATTTTTCTACTTCATTCCATGTTATGATGGTGGGAAAGTCATTGAAGACCAGATGCCAGGACAGGACCAATAACATTGCAAATTCTTTGGATTTTATCAAGAATCTCTAAATATAGAGCAGAAGCCCCAGACCATATGCGGCATCAATATTCAAAGCATGAATGAATGGTAGACTTATAAATATATGAGCTAGATTCTGGTGAAACAGATGTCTGTCAAGGCCTCTAATATGTAAACATTTCTAACCTCATCAATAGTAAGGAGTATGAACAAAAGAAAATGAGAGCCTATGTCTATTTAATCTTTTCCAAGACAATGTGCTCCTCATTTACGAGCACAAATGCGAAGACATGGGCACTGGTTTGGTTTGTTTAGATTTTGTTTGATGGCATGTCAACACCCTAAAGAGTCATATTATGACAACCAGGTAAATACAAATCATACTTATTATAAAACCCAGGTTGTGTGTGTGTGTGTCTGTACGTTTATAAATTGGATTGGATTTCCTAAATTTTTCAACCGATTTCAACAAAACTTCACAGGACTATGTAAAATTACCTTGTGGTATTTCTGACAGCCCCAAAAATTGGAAAAACAATTGTTTTTGCACGAAATCAATTTGAAAACATGATTAAGAGGGATCACAAGAATGAAAGGGGGACAACTTATTATAAAACCCAGGTTGTTTGTGTTTGTGTGTGTGCTTGTTTATATATGGGATCGGATTTTTTACATTTTTCAACCGATTTCAACAAAACTTCACTTTTTTTTTTGGCAGGTAGTGTTTCTTATTGTCTTGCACACTTTTTTCTTTATTTTTACATTCAGAATGCTTTAAAAATTCGATTTACAAGACAATTGTTTATAATAAAATTCTACTCAATCGGTAGACTCGTAACGATTGAAAACAATGTTTTTGTTTGAGTTTGAAAAAAACAATTAAGACATGCGTGTCCGTCAACCTTAAACAATAATCTTTGTCAATTTTATTTTTCAGTCTTTATGATGGTCGATACTTGATCTATCTCTTACTGTTACATCCCTGGGCAACGCTGGGTTCTACTGCTAGTATTACATATATACATTTCTCTTTTTTCCAACTCTTGTAAGGTCTCAGTTTAGTAGTTACAATTCTTTAATCTGTCAGTTTGAATCTCTTTAAACCAGAACTTCTTATATAAACATACACAAACAATTTTTAAAGGAAATTAAAAATTTCTATTTCTTTTAGAAACTCTGTGTTTTCAACATAAATGTATTTAAGCAGATGTCTGTAACATAAGCTCACGAAACTGACAGATGCCGACTTATGACAAATGTGTATTGGATTAGTGAAATATGCATTCCAAACACTAAACAAAGTGTAGGGATACAAATGGCAATTAACTCCCTTTGGTTGAGTCACAAAGGTCACATGACGATTGGATTGGTTTGGTTTGGTTTGATCTATTTTGTTTTATGGTATATCAATCTCAATGCCGATAACATTTTTGGGATAGGTTTGTATGAATAGAATATGTATTCATTGTAAGAAATCAGCTTGTAGGTCAGGTTCATTGACATTTTTGTAAAGAGAGTTTTTTTATCGAGCTGGAATTTTTTTTCTTCTTCAAAATAAAATTAAAAAAAATAATAAAAGTATCATTCGTATTTTTACTATAAAAAATACTATTTTTACACTTTCATAGTGTTTTGACCTCAGTTTGGGTGTTAACTATTTGCCCATGGCTGGGACCCTAACAGATGCTACCACCCCAGGTCAAAGTGAACCTTGGAAAAACAGCAATTAAGAGGTTGTTCCGTGCTCCTCAAAACCTGATTGGAGGCCTTGCTGCTGGATGTAGGTTATTGTCATACTCTGGATTTGAGCATAGAGTGATGAAGATCAAATGTGTTGCAAAGCCTGGAGAAAAAAGATGTCACAAACCCACAGTGGTAGGATTTAAGACGGTGAACCACATGGCCTTACCAGGTTCATAGAGAAACCGCTGTATTGTTGGTTTACTCTTTGGAAAACATTACATGTAAGACTCTTTTCATGCCCTTCTAACATTGCTCTTTGTCACTATTCTCTGATGTCACTCGCCTGGCATCACGAGTCACAACTCTTATGACTATCTCAACCAAAGGGAGATAATCGCCTTTTGCATCTGTACAGGAGTATTAAGACTCGAGAAAATTCTGTTAGAAACAAGTGTGTCAAACTGCTGTCATATCAACCCTTTTGCATGGCATTGAATGCTGGACTACAGAAGGATACTGAGAATTCTGTGGATGGAATGAGTAAGCAACAAAGAAGTCTTATAGAAAATGGTAATAAAAAGAACACTTATGCTCAGAATCAGAAAGAGAGAGCTGAAATTTTTGGGACACACAATGAGGAAAGAGGGCTTAGAAAACTTAAAACTCATATGGCTCATCTAGGGCAAGAGAGATAGAGCGGGGGGAGCAACGGGATACCTCCCTAAGAAGCTTGAGTGAATGGAATATGGGATGAGAAGCTTTGCAAAAGTAGAAACACTGCTAAAAGCCATGAGGGGTGATAGGAAGTTGTGGAGAGCCACAATCACCCATGTTCTGAAGGGACATGGGACAGAGAAGAAAAAGAATATGCTTATCATAAGGTGGGTCTAAGAATGAATCCTTATAAAGAGAGTGATCTGTTAGCCAACAAGAGAAGAAAAGTGGACATCAAACTTCATTTGAATGCCACTAATTTCTCATTCTCCCCCACTAATGAGCATTCTGATGAATGAAAGAATTTGCAACCAAAATCCATTATTATTAGAGCAGGTCAAGCTTTTCAGTCAATTTTGACCATTAAAAATTTAAATGTTGTCGTCTACTAGCGCCTTAAATCTTTCTTTTACAGTCCTCTACCGTTGATAATGTTTTTTGTTTTTTTTCTCAAACTCTTTTTACCCTCAGCAACTCCTTTGTGTAATAGTGTGACTTTACTGCTTTGCTTGCAATAAAATTAAGAAAAAAACAAAACAATGATTGAACATTTCCTAAATTTAAATTATTTAAACAGAAAAGGTGTAAAGAATCAGACACAACTTACAGTATAAGGTGTCGTGGCAGTTCTCCATTTGGCAAAATTTGTAGGAGCATGACCCTTTGTCCATACATGATATCTGGTTTTAAGAAAAAAAAAAAAGAAAAAAAAAAGGGGGGGTGTTAACAGCTATATAATAAATGCAAATGTCACTTTGCTCTTAGAGGCAGTAACCCAACATATACGATTCTTGAATCAGGCTGACTCCGTAAGCAAATTAAAAACATTCCAAGTCGGATCCGGACCTGCAATCCTGAAATTTTGGATTCCCAATTTTTCATTACTGTAATTGTATTCAGTTTCTTCCATTTTGGCTTCTGCTGATAAAAACAATTAAAGGGAGACAACTCTCTAACTTTCAATAGCTCATTGAAATGAAAAAAAATTACTGTTCTCAAATTACAACATTTCAAAATAAAATTGTCTGTGTTTTCAACTTTACACCTAGAGGCTATGGCCCAACATATACCATTTTGGAATCAGACTGATTCTGTGAGCAAATGAAAAACATTCCAGGCTGGATCCAGGCCAGTAATCCTGAAATTTTGGATTCCCAAATTTTCATTACTTCCATTGTTTTCCGTGATTTCTTTTTCTGCGATATTTTGCGACAAATTTTTTTGTAATGATAACAATTTTCATCACTTGGAAATAAATTTGGGAATAACGACTAATGTACATCAAATTGTCTGTAAATTAAGTGGCAGCAGAAGAAATATTGTTGGACTTTTAAAAGGTAAGCTTAAATATTAATGCAATACTTAAATGCAGCAATCAATTTTGAGTTCTTCTGCAGTTTATTGATGCCTGTTGCATCTACTCTTCCCCACTCACTATTGTGATGAAGACCCAATCAATAGCCCTCTGCAGGAGCTAACTTAAAAGCCATTCTATTGGGTGGCATTTAAGGTAGCTTGGTAATAAATACTGAGATGCATTGGGTTGGCTAAAAAATTTGTTTGGTCATTAAGTATAAAATTTACTCAATACAAACAAAACTTTTCGTCCAATCCAATTACCTATTTTGGATAAAACAGAAAGAATTTGCAAACTCAAATTAGATGTGAGACATATCAAGGCATAGCCACACATCTCTCCATCTCAATTTAACTTTTGAAAATCATAGAAGTGTGAAAGCAGTTACTCTAAATAAATATTCTGAAAGAAGACTAGTACATTTTCAACTTTTTCCTTTATATTTTTACACATGTGAGATATATATATAAAAAATCTTACACACACACATATATATATATATATATATATATATATATATATATATATATATTATTTATGGACAATGAAGTCAACAATCTGTTTCATGCTAAATGCAATCATCAGGCCATGATTGCACTCAGCATGAAACAGACTGTCACCTACTGGTGTTTACTTCAGTGTCCACTTACTTATATATATATATATATATATTAATAATAGTTCCTCATTTCCTCCTAGTTTGTCTATTATTTTGTAATTCCTGTTAACATACTAGTCATCAGTGATTCTTTTATATCGCTGAAAAAAAAAAAAAAAAATGGTTACTGTTTTAGGAAAAAATACGTGGTTTTGCCTGTTTAAAACCATAAGTTCTGTGGTATCATTTATGTGTGTGTGTGTGTGTGTGTGTGTGTGTGTATATATATATATATATATATATATATATATATATATATATATATGTATGTACATGCATATTGTGTATTTGGGCAGCAAGCCATTTTTTAGACAAGTTTTGTAAAAGA